CACAATTGATGACACCACTGTCCAGAACGACCCCCGCCTCAAAGCTTTCGGATACTCCTTTGAGCAGGTCAGCCTGCTGCTTGGTCCCATGGCGGCTGACTCCAAGGAGGCATTGGGTTCGATGGGGAATGATGCTCCGTTAGCTTGCATTGCCCAACAGCCACGTCTTCTATACGAGTATTTCCGCCAGCTTTTTGCGCAAGTCACAAATCCACCCATAGACCCTATCCGAGAGGCTGTGGTTATGTCTCTTGAGTGTTACGTCGGTCCCCAGGGTAATCTTCTAGAGATGGATGCCTCGCAATGCCGCCGCCTCCTCCTTCCTTCTCCCATCTTGAGCATTCCCGAGTTCAATGCCCTGAAGAATATTAACAGAGCACACAATGATTGGACCGTACGGACGATTGACATTACCTTCGAGAAGAAGAAGGGCGTTCCGGGATATCTAGAGGCACTTGATGCCATTTGTGATGCTGCTACTGAGGCAATTCAGAATGGGGACAAGGTTCTTGTGCTTTCTGACCGTGCTACTTCGGCAGACAGAGTTTCCGTGTCTGCTCTTCTAGCCACTGGTCTTGTACATCATCATTTGGTTCGTAACAAGTGGAGGTCTCTTGCAGCCCTGGTTGTCGAAACTGCTGAGGCTCGGGAAGTCCACCACATGTGTGTTCTGGTTGGTTATGGTGCCGACGCCATCAATCCATACCTGGCTATGGAGTGCATCCTCAAGATGAATCGCGAGAAGCTGATCCGCAAGCAACTGCCAGACGACAAAGTTATCGAAAATTATAAAGCATCGTGTGATGGAGGTATCCTAAAAGTCATGAGCAAGATGGGTATCTCTACGCTGCAGTCGTACAAGGGCGCACAGATCTTTGAGGCACTTGGTATTGACGATACTGTCATTGACCGATGCTTCGCGGGAACCGCCAGCCGCATTCGTGGCTTAACGTTCGAGCTGATTGCTCAGGATGCATTTGCCTTACATGAACGCGGTTACCCCTCACGTTCAGTTATTGAGATCCCTGGACTTCCTGAGTCTGGCGAATATCACTGGCGTGATGGAGGTGAAGAGCATGTGAACGACCCGGTCAGCATCGCCAATATGCAAGATGCAGTGCGTACCAAGAACGACAAGTCGTACGAAGCCTACGCAAAAGCGGAGCATGAGCAGATCAAGAACTGTACTCTCCGTGGTATGCTCGACTTTGATTTTGAGCAGCGCACTCCTATCCCCATCGATCAAGTTGAGCCTTGGACTGAAATCGTCCGTCGATTTGTGACAGGTGCAATGTCCTATGGATCCATTTCCATGGAGTCTCACTCTACCTTAGCTATTGCTATGAACCGTCTTGGGGGCAAATCAAACACTGGAGAAGGAGGTGAAGATCCCGAGCGAAGCAAGAGAATGGAGAATGGGGATACCATGCGGTCTGCAATCAAGCAGATCGCTTCCGGCCGTTTCGGTGTGACATCTCATTATCTAGCCGATGCTGATGAACTGCAGATCAAAATGGCCCAAGGTGCTAAACCAGGCGAAGGTGGTGAGCTTCCTGGTCATAAAGTTGTTGGCCCTATTGCTCACACCCGTTATTCCACTCCTGGCGTCGGTCTGATATCGCCGCCCCCCCACCACGATATATATTCAATTGAAGACCTCAAGCAGCTCATTTACGACCTCAAATGTTCGAACCCTCGTGCACGTGTTTCCGTTAAGCTCGTGTCGGAAGTCGGTGTTGGTATTGTTGCCTCTGGTGTTGCCAAAGCCAAAGCCGATCATATTCTGATCTCTGGTCACGATGGTGGTACTGGTGCTTCTCGTTGGACTGGTATCAAGTATGCCGGTCTTCCTTGGGAACTGGGTCTTGCCGAGACTCACCAAACTCTTGTTCTCAATGACCTCCGGGGTCGTGTGGTTGTGCAGACTGATGGTCAACTCCGCACTGGCCGCGATATTGCTATCGCTTGTCTCCTCGGAGCCGAAGAGTTCGGCTTCGCCACAACTCCCTTGATCGCTATGGGATGCATTATGATGAGGTTTGTATTACTGGTAAAGCCTATATTAGTTATATTTGTTTCACTGACAGTTGTTTAGAAAATGTCACCTGAATACTTGCCCCGTCGGCATTGCTACTCAGGACCCTGAACTGAGGAAAAAGTTCTCAGGCACCCCGGAGCATGTTATCAACTTTTTCTACTATGTTGCCAATGAGATGCGCGCTATCATGGCCAAATTAGGTATTCGTACCGTGAATGAAATGGTTGGGCGAGCTGAGCTACTCAAGACCAGGGATGACATCCGGACTGCTAAGCAGGAGAGGATAGACCTTTCTCTCATTCTGACTCCTGCTCATTCCTTGCGCCCCGGGGTTGCTACATACAATGTCCGCAAGCAGGACCATCGTCTGCACATTCGTCTCGATAATAAGCTGATTGCAGAGTCTGAGCTTGCACTTGAGAAGGGTCTTCCCTGCAGGATTGAGTGTGATATAGTTAATACTGATCGTGCACTGGGCGCTACACTGTCTTACCAGGTCAGTCGCCGCTTTGGTAACGAAGGTCTTCCACAGGATACAATCCACGCCAACATCAAGGGCTCTGCTGGTCAGTCGTTTGGCGCTTACCTCGCTCCGGGTATCACTCTTGAGCTTGAGGGTGACGCCAACGACTATATTGGCAAGGGCCTATCAGGAGGCCGTCTCATAATCTACCCTCCCCGTGGTGCTGCCTTCAAAGCAGAGGAGAACATCATCGTGGGTAACACTTGCCTCTATGGTGCTACCAGGGGTACTTGCTTCTTCCGTGGTGTGGCCGCTGAGCGATTTGCTGTCCGTAACTCAGGTGCTACTGCAGTCGTTGAGGGCGTTGGTGACCACGGATGTGAATATATGACCGGAGGTCGTGTTCTCATTCTTGGCTCAATTGGTCGTAACTTTGCTGCTGGTATGTCCGGTGGTATTGCTTACGTTCTCGATATGGACCAGGACTTCCACTCAAAAGTAAATATGGAGATGGTGGAGGTCTCCGGTCTGGAAGATCCCGCCGAAATTGCCTTTGTACGCGGTCTAATTGAGGACCATCACCACTACACTGGGTCGGAACTGGCTGCTCGCATCCTACTGGACTTTACCCGTGCTCTTCCTCACTTTGTCAAGGTTCTACCTACCGATTACAAGCGAGTGATGGAGGAGGAAGCTGCCAAGGCCGAAGCTGCTAAGAAGGCTGAGTTTACTGTGCCCCAGCTTCCTAGCGCACCTTCCAACGTTGAGAAGCCCAGGGCGGGCGAGACCAAGAAAGCTGAAATGCTTGACATTGAGGATAGCGTGAGCGATTCAAAGACCGAGAAGAAGCGGTCAGCACTCATCCTTGACAAGACGAGGGGCTTCATGAAGTATAACAGGCGCAGTGAGAAATATCGGAACCCTGGTACTCGTACACGGGATTGGGCCGAGCTTTCTAGTCGTCTAACTGAGGATGAGCTCAAGTATCAATCTGCCCGTTGTATGGACTGCGGTGTTCCCTTCTGCCAGTCTGACACTGGCTGCCCCATCTCTAACATCATTCCCAAGTGGAACGAGCTTGTTTTCCAAAACCAGTGGCAGGATGCCCTTAACCGCTTGCTCATGACCAACAACTTCCCCGAGTTCACTGGCCGTGTTTGCCCCGCCCCTTGTGAAGGTGCTTGCGTTCTAGGGATCAATGAAGACCCTGTTGGGATCAAGTCTATCGAATGTGCCATCATTGACCGTGGTTTCGAGATGGGCTGGATGGTACCTCGTCCTCCTAAGATCCGTACCGGTAAGACGGTTGCCATCATTGGCTCCGGCCCAGCTGGCCTCGCAGCTGCGGACCAGCTAAACCGCGCTGGCCACAGCGTTACCGTATACGAACGTGCTGACCGTATTGGCGGTCTTCTTATGTATGGTATCCCCAATATGAAGCTCGACAAGAAGGTCGTGCAACGCCGCGTCGATCTGATGGCTGCCGAGGGCGTCAGATTTGTGCCCAACACTGCTGTTGGCCCTGACGAAGAAGTGTCTTTGGACTCCCTGCGTAAGACGAATGATGCTGTTATCATCGCTACTGGTGCCACAGTGGCTCGGGATCTCAAGGTCCCCGGCCGAGAGCTGGAAGGTGTACATTTTGCCATGCAATTCTTGCACCGCAATACCAAGTCGCTTCTTGACTCTAACCTCGCCGATGGCGCATATATCTCCGCCAAGAATAAGCACGTTGTTGTCATTGGAGGTGGTGATACTGGAAATGATTGCATTGGTACCTCTGTTCGTCACGGTGCCAAGTCTGTTACCAACTTCGAGCTACTTCCCCAGCCGCCTCCAGAACGTGCTCGCGACAACCCATGGCCCCAATGGCCGCGCATCTACCGTGTTGATTACGGTCACTCTGAAGTCAAGACCCACATGGGCAAGGATCCTCGTGAGTTCTGTGTCATGTCCACGGAGTTTGTCGACGACGGTAACGGCCATGTCAAAGGTATCAACACCGTTCGTGTTGAGTGGACTAAGAGCGCTTCTGGGGGTTGGGATATGAAGACAGTTGAGGGCAGTGAACAGTTCTTCCCTGCAGACCTTGTCTTGCTGTCCATGGGATTCCTTGGGCCTGAAGACCGCCTTCTGGGTGATGAGATAGAACGTGATGCTCGCAAGAATGTCAAGACACCCCCCGGTCAATATTCCTCTAACGTCCCTGGTGTTTTTGCTGCTGGCGATTGCCGTCGCGGACAATCTCTCATTGTCTGGGGTATCAATGAGGGTCGTCAGTGTGCCCGCGAAGTCGACACTCATCTTATGGACATTAGCTCTCAGCTTCCTGTCACTGGCGGCATTGTTCGTAGGCCGGCTATTGATGCGGTTCGACAGTCTACCGAACAAGCTGTTTCCGCATGATTTTCTCTGAGAGCTTCAGATTCTCAGAGCTGGACATGTTCTAGCCATGGTGGTATGGCTCATGATTAAACGACTGTAGATTATTGTGATATGATCAAAAAGTTTTCCTAACCAGCTGAATACATGTTGGCTGAAAATCTGTATCATGGCGATTGATCAACAGCCACGACTGCAGTTACATTGACATGTCAGCAACAATGGCGCAACACTCCCGGAGAGGTTTACTAAGTGCTTTGTTGTTTTGTTCATTCAAGCCTGTACCGTTTTGGTTCCTGCTATTTCTCCCGCTTTGCGACTGTGCTCCTTTACGTTTTGTTGCAGCGGTCTTTACCATAAAACTGGTATGCAAAAATGGGGTCGGAGCGTTTGCTATTCAGAGTATCTTTTCTATGATTTGCTGTACATATCTACTTCTTAAGCAATATAGTGGAAATTTGGTGACATACATCGTTGGGATTGATACATTACATGGCGACTTGCCTTGCTGGTAGATTTTGTAATGCACCAAATGAAGAATAATATCTGCACGGGAGAACAGACTGCAAAATGTGCCTATCATTTAGAGGCTAATCTCATCTACCACGGGGTGATTCTACAGGGTCTTGTATCTTCACCTCCAGGTCTTATCTGCAGATACTCTTGCCCTTCGATTTGCCTCTCGACCCATGAACTCGTCGTCGACCTTTATGATCCATTCCAAGCCAGCCTCGTCATCAGCCGCCCTCATACAATCGTGGGGATATTCCAACCGCTGATCAGCCAGCTCGATCATTGCCCATAAATTTTTGTAGTACATCGATCGGTCCAATGATGTCTGGGGCTTGAGAATGGATTTGCGGTGTGATGCTCTATCGTCGAAATCGGTTGGATAGTACCCCTTCCTGGGACGGTCAGGGAGTTGCACCACCGCACCCCAATGGACGCGTTTTCGTAATCTATGCCTTCGAATATGGTTATGAGCCTGATCTGCGGGTGGTAGTAGTGGGGTTGGTCGCGCATTCGACTGTCCATGTCGACGTGACTTTGTGCGATAAGCACGGTGGAATAGAAAGGAATGTATAGCGTGGTATATTCGTGAATCCATCAGACGGACAAAGCGAAAAGCTTCTAGAGACCATGCGGGGATCTGTAGGCTTAGTTCTGCCACTTTGACTTCTGACTCTCCTCGCTTTTATATGATACAACCTAGTGAGCATGGACAAAGGATGAAAGGACGTGTTATCGATAAAGACACTAGGCATTAACTTCTGTTTCTCATATTATACAATAGATTCTCAATTCTCAAGGGAAAATTCCATCATCCAGGTCTATGACTGCTGCTTGACATGGCATTAAAACAATGAACACTATACAGAGTCCCATGAGGCGCAGGGGACAGGTATCCAGAATTCAATCTACATACACCGATAAACAAGAGTTTGCAGGCAAACAAAGAAGCATCAGCGAACCTAAGCGACGCCAGCCCCCTGTGCTTCTTCCTCTGCTTGCATCTCCTTCTCTAGGGCAGCGAAATCCCCTTCAAACGCATTCCGAACTGGCTCTGTCCGAAGATCCCAGACATCCTCACTACTAGGCCCTGTCTTATACTTGATGGCCTTCTTGCGATAATGGTCTCTGACGGCCTTCTTGCGAGCACCATCTGACCAGGTCCTGGTCTTCATGCAAAGCCAGAAATTATCCCAGTGTTCACTGCACGACCGCAACTCGCCATATCGGTAAACATTGACGAACTGCCCGCCGAATGATTGACAGAAAAATGCGTAGTCGAATGCAGAACGACAGGACATTGTATCGGGGTAGAGAGATTCGGGCGCTATGGAAGACGGGGGTGATGGTGTGGACTCTGGTGATTCTGCCGAGGATGGGGACTCTTGCGATGCCTCAGATCCTTTATTGATGTCTCCCTCCAGGCTGGCTAGCAATTGCCTCAATTCCGCATCTGCTCGTTCTTCGCGAGTTAATGTCCGCGGTTGCGATGGAGGTGCCCCGGAGTTCTCTGGCGCCGGTTGCGTACTATCGGATGAAGAGATTATTTGCGGTTCGGTTTTGGAAGAAGGAGAAGACGAACTCCACCACCAGCCCATTTTGTGTAAACGAATACTTGATGTCGGAAAATCAGGACAAGAATTAGAGGTGGAGGTGGCTCCAGTGTTGAAGCGACAATTGTGTAGGAATTAGCGCTGTAAATTTCATAGTTACAGAAAATGACAATACCAGGACACTTGCCGGGGTTAGATGCGGGAACACGGCTGTCCTAGAGTGTATGATACAGGCATCTACGTCATACTCATGGCCAACCTTGATCAGTATCGACTTTCCTCCACAATGGCTCTACCATCTTAATGGAGATGACAATAATGATGCGAAAATCGTTTCCAGCGGTGATACCTCAAATTTATCAGACATCCTTACGCCGGAGGCGACCACCCCTATCCCTGTTTGTCGCAAAGCCCTCCCTCGCTCGCCTCAGTAGCGCATCGCATACTTCATATCTTGAGACAGGACACATTGAGTTGAAGGAAAATGAAGGGCTATTGTTTATCAATAGTACGAAATCTTGAAGTTAAATTCCATGCTGGTAGTATTGCAAGCTAAGTTTGAACTGTAACAGATATTTTCCCCCCGAAACTGCAATGGGTCTTGGAAGGGCCTCTCCGCGCAAGTCGATCGTACGAAGAGGCATTGAAACGAATCGACAGACCGCACCTCGCAGCGTCCGATCCCCTACGTATAATTCGCCGTGTCTTTCCCCAAGATCTAGAAGTTGAGATCAAAGAGGTCGTTCCGCGCTTCAGGGAAGGTGGTGCATTTGTGAAATACACTCGCAGCGAGGGAGTTAAAGACACTGATATCGAGACGGCTGTCAAAGATCACCTCGAGAAACACCCTATCCGACCCTGGTTCAATCCTTTCCAGCAGGTCAAGGTTGCCCGTGTCCTTGGAAGACCATGGGTGGAGGATTTATATCGCATACCGAGCCCTCGACTGAGAGTTGAGTTCCTGCCGGGCAGCGCCAATGATTTGGCAAACGATCTAACTACGGAATCTTTGTACTCACTATTCCGCAGCTATGGGAAGTTGAGAGATATTGAAAGACAACCGTCAGATTCCAAGATCCTGCCAAGGTACGCCTACGTAGAATTTACTCGTCCCAAGTTTGCGGTTACAGCCAAAAACTGTATGCACGGATTCACAGTCCCAGAGCAAGAAGGTTGCGGAAAGTCTGGCACAAGGTTAAAGATTAACTATGAACGGAAGATCAAATTGTCAATGATCAAGGACTGGATCTTGAGCCATCCAAGGATAGTAATCCCTGCCGTCGCTGCACTCATCGCGGCCATCACTGTGACTGTTTTCGACCCTATTCGCACCTTCTTCATAAAGATGAAGATAAAAGCAACACTCCAGGTCGAGGAGAACAGTGTTATAGGATGGATTCGCAAGCAGGCTAGTAAGGCCAACATCATCGGCTTTGGTGTTGTGGCGTCTGATCCTCGTGGGCTCAGCGCGATTTGGGAGGATCGTCAAGGAGATATTGCTCAGCTGCAATCTTGGCTTACGGAGAATATGGAGACCTTTATCATTATACACGGCCCTCGGGGTTCCGGGAAACGGGAACTTGTATTGGACCAAGCTCTTGAGAACTACAAATACAAAGTGGTCATTGATTGCAAGCAGATACAGGATGCCAGGGGCGATACTGCAAAAATTGCACGAGCAGCTAGTCAAGTAGGCTATCGGCCTGTGTTTTCCTGGATGAATAGCATTAGCAGCTTCATCGATCTAGCTGCACAGGGCATGATTGGCACCAAAGCGGGGTTCTCCGAAACATTGGATGCACAACTCAGCAATATCTGGCAGAACGCTGCCACTGCTCTGAAGGGAGTCACTTTAGACAGCAGGAAAAAGAACGATAAGGATGCGCATCTCACAGACGAAGAGTATCTCGAAGCTCATCCCGAGCTCCGGCCAGTGGTGGTTATTGATAATTTCCTGCACAATGCTTCCGAGGATAATGTCATATATGACAAGATCACCGAATGGGCCGCTGGATTAACAAGTGCCAACATTGCACACGTTATTTTCCTAACTACCGATGTTTCCTTCGCTAAACCTCTGAGCAAGGCTCTGCCGAATTCGGTTTTTCGAACAATCTCCTTGGGTGATTGCTCCCTTGAAGTCGGCAGGAGGTTTGTACTCAACCATTTGGCCGATGAAGCAAGGATGGGGGATAAACCACCCAGAAGCGAAGAATGTTTAGAAGATCTAGACAGTTGTATTGAAATATTGGGAGGCCGGGTGACTGATCTCGAATTTATGGCACATCGTATAGAAGCGGGAGAAACCCCCAATGGTAGGTTAGCCGCTTCCATTGGCATGATACATAGCTAATGGATGCGAAAGGCGCGGTCAATCGCATTATAGAGCAATCAACATCCGAAATACTCAAGATGTTTGTCTTGAGTACGAATACTGAGGCCCAGTGGAGCCACGAGCAGGTCTGGCATTTGATCAAGATGCTGGCGAATAGCAAAGAAGGTAGTCTGCCATACAACCAAGTCCTTCTCTCAGACCTTTTCAAGGAAAACGGTGAGGCTGCTCTTCGAGCTCTTGAGCAGGCAGAACTCATTTCCGTTGTCTCTATCAACGGTTGCCCTGAGACGGTCAAGCCTGGCAAACCAGTTTATCGAGCTGTTTTCAAAAAGTTGACCGAGAATAAGACACTCAGTAGTCGGCTGGACCTCGAGATTCTGTCACTGCTGATTAGTAAGGAGAATAAAAGCATTGGGAAATATGAAGAGGAGCTGCGTTTGCTTGGATCACTGCCAAAACAGCCCCGAGAGCTAACCTCGCGAATTCAGTGGCTCTTACAAAAAGTATATAACTCGCAGAGCAAGATTAGCAGGTACGAGACTGAGAGTGCGTTCCTCCAGATGATCCTCCGTAGTGGACATTGAAACGGCTTTCTAGACCTGCCTATCTAGTACCGCTGTGCTTCCATAACGGTGGTGGTTTCACTTTCTCTTCATTACTTTCTTTCTTCTTTCCTCTCGCTAGACCACACCTTTGCAGATATGGTAGTTATACACAACAATTGCAACAAATGGAACATTTAACTATGGGGGGGTGACCGCCAGCTGAGTAAGCTGTAATAATACTGTATAATGTATCGCATCATACCGGGAGTCTCATCTACCCTCTTTCTCAAGATTTCCCCATCACGCTCCATTAGACTTCGTACTCCCAACGGGCCTTCAAACTATCCTTTGCTTTTAAAGGTGGGGCTTCTTGAAAGTACTTGATCATCTTCTATACCTTGGCCCCGTGTGGCCCGCTGACTCTGTGCTTCGCCCAGTCTATATCCTTTTCCATTTCCGCTGTACCGATTGTTTCTTTTCTTTTCTTTTCTCTTTTGCTTATACCTCTTTTGTTTTATTTGAAAGAAAATGGGGAAGTATGAAATCTCCCCCGATGGTCTGATATCAAATGCCTGGAATGGCTCATCGGAGCTGTTATGGCCATCGTTAGCAGCCATCCTGGTCTTTTGCTGTATTGCCACACGTATCATCAGCGGATTCCGGAGTCGCGTTGACAGTAAGACTGAACAATCGCAATCAGTGAAGACGCTGCCGTATTGGTTCCCTTGGCTGGGTCATAGTATTTCTTTTATATGGGACCACGTAAGCTTTACGGAAAAAGCCAGGTCAGTATCCATATCTGCCTCTGTATTAGCCCTGTGGGACCTGACCAGCGCTATAGAGATTATATGAATGCACCTGTGTTCGGAATCTTCTTGGGTGGCACAAAGCACCATGCCATCGTGTCACCATCCATGATCAAATCTATTATGCAATCCAAAGCCACATCATCAGCTCCTCTAGTCAACCGTGCGCTGAAGGCTTTTGGCGATGACAGGGGCTCACTACGAGATCTGTCAACCAGTGACTATCAAACATTTCATCACAAGCTTCCCAACCTGCTCATGCGAGAACCATTCATAACGGAAACCTCCGAAACTACTATTCAGCTTTTAAAACGCGAGGTTCCAAATTTCGTCACCTTCAGCCGGAGCGTGGTTGATCAAACGTTGTGGGAGCGTGGGAGCGATGTTGAAGTTGTCAACGACCACCGCGACAAGCCCACCTGCGAGGCAAACTTGTTTGACCTCGTCAGGGGCTTCATCGGGAATATTACAACTACTACCCTCATGGGTCAAGCAATTCTGGAAGCCTTTCCTAATTTGCTTGATGATGTTTGGACACTGG